TCGGATGAGAAAAGCACACCTTTCCTCTCCCATCCTCTGCACTGTCTGCAAAGGTATTATAGAGAGCATATTGACCAGCTGCATCTCGGTCTGGTCTGGGGACTGTAAAGCGGAGAGTGGTGAGGACAGCGGAAAAGATAATCGGCTCTTCGCTGCCTTCCATCCAGGACCTTGAACACAAACGCTGTCTGGCCCGTGCCCACAATATTTTAAAAGACTCCACCCATCCTCACTATGGACTGTTTATGCTGCTGCCCTCTGGGAAAAGGTTTCGCAGCATTCGGGGCAGAACAGTAAGGTTCTGCAATAGCTTTTATCCACAAGCTATCAGACGTTTGAACTCAAAAGAACTTTTTATTGATCAATCTTACTGTCAATGGATCTCGTTCAATGGAACGAGATGGGGATACTGCAATAATTGTATCTATTTATGATTTATTTATTTAAATAATTGTACTTATACGTGGCCACTTAAGTGCAATAATTTGTTACAGATGCTGCTAATGATCATGTGTATTTATTAATTATTTATATGCTGCTGTTAATTATTTTTAGTTTTATATTCTTAATGCATGTTGGAGCATTTTTCATTAGATTTTATATTATTATATTTTTAATACTGATTTTGTACAGTAGTACATGTTTTAGTTTTAGTGTAGTTTTCTTTATGAGCCAGTGAAACGAAATCTCGTTCATATGTGCATCCCACATGTACAGTTGAATGACAATAAAGCTACCTACCTATATTATATTATATTATATTATATTATATCATTTAAAATAGCATTCTTAAAGTATGTTTTTATTCACCAATCACTTCGCTGGTGTAAATGGAAGTCTCTGGAGGAAAGCAGCAGCAGCAGCAGTACCAACCATCACCATCCGCTACAATGGCGCTGCATCCCTGACTGGAGCTCTTGTGTTCTGGGTGGGGCTTTACCAGTGGGGCATTTCCTCCAGTGTCGGGTTTCTCCAGCGCACTGGCGTTTAAATCTGCTGCAGTGGGAAGCCCGTGGACGTCTGTCACCGTGAGTGAATCTGCTCTATTGGAGGATCTGGCGCTCGTTTTCTCTTCTCTTTCATAATAGCAATTGTATCTCTTGCATTTGCTGAGTGATACATTGTAGCCTCTAGCGACGCGCGCTTTTATTCCAACAAAGCCTGAATGAAAGGCTGCCTGTTTGGCCATGTTTTCGACCGTAACATTTAAACAGAATATTATATAATGCATCATATTTTGTAATTATGGTCTAATCTTTCGCGCATTTTGTGTCGTGAGTGGCCTATAGAGACAAGGGAACAGTTTCAATGGACTCTTAAAATACATCGACGTCATTACAAATCCATTCATTTGAATACACTGCAGTAGGACTAAGGCGCATTTGTGCATATTGTGAAATAATTATCCGAAAACAACAGATATATCGTCTAAGGTTGCCTATACTCGAGTTGCATCATGTTCAGCTGGTTGGGTACCGATGACAGGAGAAAGAAAGATCCAGAGGTCTTCCAGACTGTCAGTGAAGGACTCAAGAAGCTTTACAAAACCAAACTGCTTCCACTGGAGGAACACTACAAATTCCACGAGTTTCACTCACCCGCTTTGGAGGATGCAGATTTTGACAATAAGCCCATGGTTCTCCTGGTGGGACAGTATTCCACTGGCAAAACGAGCTTCATAAGGTAAGATGGGAGTTTTGGCTCCTGTAAAACCATTTCTGGTGTCCTGAGCCCTTTAAAGACACCAGTCAGGAAACTTTAGAATCTAGCACTTCATAATATTTTTTATGAATAAGTCATACATGCACAAGCATTATATAATGCATTGCATGACTTGTATGTAGTGAATATATAATATACTTTATAATATTTGTCACTTCTGATTATTTTAATGTACGTTAAATGATGTTTTATGTAGTAGTTGATGTAATGTTATAGTGTCATTCATGATAATATATTATAATAATATTATAATACTTAACAGGATACATTATTTTATCACACATCTAGTTTTGGTGAAACTTTTTTTTTTT